TGCGGCCTGGAGTTTCTTCTTCAGCCCCTCCATGATCGTTCTGTTGGTGTTCTCGACCTGCCCGTTGCCCTGAGGTTAAGCAACGGAGGAGAAACGGTGCCTCACCCCAAACTCCTGGAGGAGCTCCTGGAAAGGGGCTGCCTCGAATTGGGTGCCGTTGTCTGATATAATCTCCTGGGGGACGCCGAAGCGTGTGATGATGTTCTTGTAAACAAATTTTTGGCATCTGGCCCCCGTGATGCTGGCCAGGGGTTCCGCCTCGACCCACTTGGTGAAGTAGTCGACGGCGACGATGATGTAGCGGTTGTTCCCGGCGGCTCTGGGCAGGGGGCCGACCAGGTCAATCCCCCATCTGGAGAATGGAATTGCGGTGCTGACGGGGGCGTAGTTGACGGCTGGCCGACCAGGGGCCTTCTGGAGCACCTGGCATGTGGTACACTTCCTAGCCAGATCCGTGCAGTCTCGCGCCATCGTCGGCCAGAAGAAGCCCTGGACGACAAGACGTCGGGACATGCTGAAAGGGCCTTGGTGCGAGGAGCAGACGCCACAATGAACTTCTTCCATGGCCGTGTCGGCCTCGTCCTGGTGCAGGCATCAGAGGAGAGTGCCATTATAGGACCGTTGGTAGAGTTTGCCATCTTCGATGGTGTAGCTTGGGGCCCTGAGTTTGGCAAGTTTGGCCCTCTCCTCGTCCGGGGGCAGCTCCCCCGTTGTGATGAAGGTGACGATGTCGGAGATCCAGTCCTCTGGTCGCTGTTGGACGCACAAGACGGGGCTGGCATGGATGCTGGACATGCTCAACTCCTCGATCTTGGCCAGCTGGGAGATGTGCTCCGGGGTGTCCGAGCTGAGTTTGGAGAGGATGTCGGCCTCAGCGTTCTCGGCCCTTGGGATCTGTGTGATCTCGTGGGTTTCGAACGCCTTCAGCAGCTCCTCTGCCGCTTGTTTGTACTGCTTCATCCGGCCTTCCTTTGCTTCGTACGATCCCTCTACCAGGCCCACTACCAGTTTGAAGTCGCACTTGATTTTGACGTGCTTGGCCTTGAGGCCGGCGGCGAGTCTGAGACCGCTGAGGAGGGCCTCATACTCGGCTTCGTTGTTGGATACCCTGAAGTTGAAGCGGATGGCATAATAAGCTCTAAATCCTTCAGGGAATATGAGGACGACGCCGCCACCACATGATTTCGCGGCCGACGAGCCGTCAGTGAAAATGATCCATGTATCGTCCGGCTCCGGCCCGGGGTTGGCGACGACCGTCTCCCTTGCTGTGCATTCAGTGACGAAGTCGGCCAAGGCTTGCCCTTTGATAGATGGCCTTGGCTTGATCTCAATTTGAAACTGGCTGAGGAAGATCGCCCATTTCACCATCCTAGAGGAGCTGGTGGGGCTCCTCATGAGTGCGCCAAGAGGCTGCTGGGTTAGCACATGGACGGCATGGGCCTGGAAGTAGTGTCCCAGCTTCTTCACTGTATGGACGATGGCCAGCACCGTCTTCTCAATGGGGGAGTACCTGAGCTCGGCCTCCCTGAGTGTCTTGCTGATGTAGAAGATGGCCTTTTGCACCCCTTCGTCCTCACGGATGAGCACGGAGCTGATGGCCGACGTGCTCACCCCTAAGTACAAGAAGAGGGTTTCGCCGGCTTTGGGCTTGGAGAGCACGGGCGGGACGATAGGTACCTCTTCAACTCTTCGAACGCTTCCTGGCACTCCGTCGTCCACTTGAAGCTGTTGGCTTTACGCATGATCTGAAAGAAGGGGAGTGCCCTCTCGGCCGACCTGGAGAGGAACCGGTTCAGGGCCGCCAGGCGCCCCGTCAGTCGCTGTACTTCCTTGACGTTGCGGGGCGGCTCCATGTTGATGATAGCCTGCGTCTTCTCCGGGTTTATCTCGATGTCTCTCCGGCTGACCATGTAGCCGAGGAACTTGCCGCCCTGGACGCCGAAGGCGCACTTCTTGGGGTTGAGGCGGAGCCTGAACTCCTTCATGATTTCAAAGATTTCCCTGAGGTCGTCGGCGTGGGAGGAGGCCTGCCTGCTCTTGACGATCATATCGTCGACGTAAGCCTCCATCGTCCGGCCAAGGACCGCCCTGAAGATCTTGGCCACCATCCTAGTATAGGTGGCGCCGGAGTTTTTGAGTCCGAAGGCCATGACGAGGTAGCAAAAGATTCCCTCTGGGGTCATGAATGCCGTCTTCTCAGCGTCATCTTCATGCATGGAGATTTGGTGGTACCCTCTGAAAGCGTCAAGGAACGACATCAGCTCGCACCCTGCCGTTTCGTCCACCAGCTGATCAATGTTGGGGAGAGGGAACGGGTCCATGGGGCACGCCTTGTTCAGGTCAGTGTAATCAACACACATCCTGAATGTTGGCGGTTTCTGGGCGAGGACGACGTTGGCCAACCACGTCGGGTACTTCACCTCTTTGATGTGTTTGATTGAGAGGAGCATGGCGACCTCCCCTTTGACGAAGTCCCGCCTGTCGGCGGACAAGTAGCGCCGCTTCTGCTTGATGGGTGTGGAGGCCGGATCGACGGTCAGCCGGTGAGTAATCACCTGGCGGCTGATGCCTGGCATGTCGTCCGGGCCCCACGCGAAGACAACGGCGTATGATCGCAGGACGAGGAGGATGGCGTCTCGTTGGTCCTGAGGGAGTTGCTTCCCGACTCTGAGAACCCGCTCCGGCCGGGAGGTATCCCAAGGGATTTCCTCGACCTCCTCGGCCGGCTCCGCATGTGACCTCTCCTCGTCCTTGGAAACGGCTGCTGTGATGGTGTCTATCCTCTGGCCTTCCCTCTCGGCCGGCCTCGTCAGTTTGAGGTAGCACGCCCTGGTTATCCTCTGGTTTCCTCTGGCGTAGCCGATGCCGTCATTGGTGGGGAACTTCAGACATAAGTGCTTCATGGAGATGATGGCCTCCAAGTCCTCCAGCGCTGGCCGCCCCAAGATCAGGTTGTGGGCGCACTGGAGGTTGACCACCATGAACTCCATATCAATCCTGGCGCGGTGGGGGCCGTCACCGACCTCCACGGGGAGGACTATCGTGCCCTCGGCGTCGATAGAGTCCCCGGTGAAGCCGGATAACGGTGTCTTGATCGGCTTCAGCAGAGCTCTGTCTAGCTTCAGCTGCCTGAAGGTATCTAGGTACATCACGTTGACGGAGCTCCCCGTATCGATGTAAGTGCGGTGGATGATGGAGTCACCGATCTCACACCGGATGACGAGGGTGTCCCTGTGTGATTCCGTACCCGGAGGCAAATCCTTGTCAGTGAAGGTGATCGCCTCCGTCCGCTGCTTCTTCGGCTGGGGGGGGGGGGGGGGGGGACGTGGGACACCTCCCCAATGTAGAGGGATTGGGCCCATTTCTTTCTCTAAGTGGCGGAGTCCCCCCCAGTGTTTCCACCTACGATGAGGTGAATGTGATTCTTCTTTGGCGGGGGCTCTTCGAAGTCCTCGTCGTCGTTGAGCCTACCAATCTCCCGCTTCTTTGCAGAGGGTTCGCCCCCATGTTTGCCGGTGTTCACCCATGTGTTTTTGCGTGGGCCACCTTTAACAAACTGGGAGAGTTCCCCCTGGCGAATAAGGCACTCGATGGCCTTCTTCAGCGTGATGCAATCGTCGGTGTTGTGCGACGAGTTCTTGTGGAACCGGCAGTATGTGCCGCCCTGCTGGATGGCAAGGACCTCCTCGGCGGGCTGAGGAGCCTGCTCGATGAGGCCATGCTTCTCGGCATAGTCGAGGATGATGCCGACCGGGTGAGTGAGGGCAACCCCCGGCCGTTCCAACCTCGGTCGCCAGTGGCGATCTTTCTTACTCTGTCCACCAGAGCCGTGACAGCCCTGGGCACCCTGGCCGGCCGGGGACGGACCCGGGGCCGGCGAAGGATTTGTCTTCTTGGAGGGATGGCCCCCCTCTTTCTTGTGATTGTGGAGCTCGTCGGCGTCGGCGTACAAGCCTCCACGCTGGAGCGCCTTGGCGTACGACCTCGGAGGGTCGGTGATGAGGCTCCTAGCGTACGGGGAGCTACGGAGGGCTCCCTGATACAAGGCGAGGAGGGTGCGCTCGTCGGCCCCCTCGACTTCCTCGGTCTCCCTCGTCCAACGATCAATGAACGATCGGAGGGACTCATCATGCTGCTGCTTGACAGAGAGGAGGTGGGTGAAATACTTCTTCGCACGCTTCCTCCCGGCAAAGTGGGTGAGGAAGCGTTGGGCAAGATCTTGCCATGAGTCGATGCTCCCTTCGGGGAGTGCGTTGAACCACTCGTACGCTGGCCCCTCGAGAGTAGAGAGGAACCAACGGCAGAGATATATTCATCCGACGCGTTCACCATCAGCATATTGTTCTGATAGCGGTTGAAGTGCTCCTGGGGACTGATCGGCCGTCGTAGGACTTGATGGCGTTTCCCCTGTACTTCTCCGGGATGGGGGCCGAGAGGACCCTGTTGGTGAAAGGGGTCCTGGCCCTGACTTGGATGATGGGGTCACCCCGCCCCTCGGCCAGCTCCCTCTCCAGGGCGCTGACCTTGTTCATGAGCGCGTTGAGGCCGGGGTCGTTGGAGGCGCCGGCCGTAGGGATGTTGGTCGACTGCTTGGCCTCCATCTGAGCCAGCCTCCTTTCCAGCTGGGCGATGACTTCATCCCGGGGGTCCCTGGCGGCCGCAGCGGCGCCCGGCTGGTTCCTCATGCGCTCGTCGTAAGCCGCATTGATCCGGTGGCGCACGTCGTCTTCGTGCAACTTTCCCTTGCCCTTGTCCGGGCGGGGCTGGTCCGCTGTCCGGGACACAGACCCCAAGCTTTCCCTCGGCGAGCCAGGACGAGGCTCACCAATCCGTCCCGCCATCCTCTCCGAAACCGGACGACGGCGCGTGGCGCCTAGCCTATTGAAGGTAGAGGCTTTTCCACGCGCTGGGGTCTGCCCCGGCCGAAGAGGGGAAGCAGGGTGGGAGTGGGACGACGTCGTGTCCTGGGCCACCACCCCCTCATCGTTGCCTATCTGGACGGCCAACGGTTGGGGCTGAGGAGGTGGAGTGACGTTCCCCCCCGGTCCTTGGCAAGTGTGCGCTGAGGACGGTGGGGTTCTGAGCCAGGCTGGCGATGATGACCGACAGCGCAGCCTGGACCTGTGGATCCACGGACGGAGAGGCCGCGGCCATAGGCTGGGCCGGGGCGTGGTCCGTCTTCTCAGCTCGTTTCTTGTCCAAGCCGATGCGGGCGTCAGGGGCTCCGCCGTTGAGTTGGTTGCGGAGGTCCGCCGTGAGGTTGAAGGCCTCCTGGAAGACGTCCCTTCCGCCGACCTGGTCGGCCGTGGCGTCCTCATCGTGCTCCCTGGGCTCTTGGTCCTCAGGGATGACCTTGCTGACGAGGTTGCGGTTTGATTTAGTTCTTCCCATGATCAGTGGTTAGCTGTGCTTGGTAGCGACGAAGGGTGCTAACTTGATTGTTCTAGCTCTCAACGAAAGCACCAAATGATAGAGTATATCTAGAGAGAAGTGAGAGCTAGAGAGAGAAGTGCAATAATATGCTTCAATAGAATGAATTTGTAACCCCTATAACTACTCCCAAGGGGAGTATTTATAGAGAAAATACGGGCTGGGCTCCCAAGCCTTGGGCTTGGAGGCCCATTTACAACTGGACCGCTACTGGGCCAAATACAAAGCCACTAATGGGCTGTACGAATGAGTGAGTATAAAATCCGGTTCTGTGAGGTCTTCGTGGCCGACGAGGGCGTGGCCGACGAGGGCACGGCCGAGGAGGGCACGGCCGAAGAGGGCGTGGCCGACGAGGGCACGGCCGACAAGGGCGTGGCCGACGAGGGCACGGCCGAGGAGGGCACGGCCGACGAGGGCACCCGGGTTCCTTGGCTTCAGGACCATAATCTGAACTGGCACCTTCTCGGCCGACGGGGGTCCCTTGGCCGACGTGGGCGCCACTCGGTGTCTTGTGCTTTCTGTTCTTCCGAGTATGTGGGTCCGGGGGCTCAGACTCATATACTCCATCAGCGAGTATTTTGGTCCCAGTGTCTGTTCCTTTTCCCGGCTTTTGTTAAGGTAAATCCCCGACTCCAATCTTCTTCTTCCTTCCCGTATCTCCCTATGGCCTGCTCCATGGAGATTTCTTCCTCCTCTGAGACTAGCTCCGGCTCTTCTACCGGATCTTCAGCCGGCTCATCTTCGGCGTCAGAATCCAGGTCCCGTTCTTCGGCTGAGGCGAGTGGATCTGACCGTTCCAGCGCCTCTTCAATGGCAGTCCCTGATGCAGTGACCGATGCCGCCATCCCGGTCGTTGGGGAACATGTTGACATGGCCGTTGCGATGGCGGCACAACCTGCCGCGGCGGTGGGGCACCTAGACGACTACGACTCGGGGGAGGATGCTGAAGAAGGGGATGACCTCCGAATGTATAAGCGGGGCATCCCCATGGACGATCATAGGCACATTGTGCTTATTCCGAACGTAGCTGCGATCGAGCAAGTTTTCTCTAAAAGGGCCTTGAGGGAGCTTCAAGTCCTCCTCCCCCCGCCTGCCTATTATAGCCTCCGGGGCGCGGATAACCTCTTCATGAGACGCCCGGGGATAGTGATGGTACATATGGACTCCCTGAAGGCCGGACTGCGGTTCCCGTTACACCCGTTCTACCTGGATTTCTTCGAGTTCTACGGCGTGGTCCCGGCTCAATTCATGCCGAATTCCTACCGCCAGATCTCGGTGTTCCTTGTCCTTTGTAAATCACTGGGCTCGCTTTCTCCCTGGAGTTGTTCCACTACTTTTTCCAAGTTACCCCCCAGAATGTTGATGGGTTCCTGAGCGTGGCCGCTCGTCTTAAGAGAAAATTGTTCGAGGGGGCTCCCTCTTCTATCCATGATTGGAAGAACCGTTATTTCTTTATCCGTTATGTGAACGATCGGCTCCCTGTACGGTGGAACGGATACCCTCCGAAGGTCCAGACACTAGAACTGGCCCTAGTTCTGCAGGAAGCCGTGGACAAGCTGAGGCTAGGCGGTGTTAGGAGATTAAAAGGCCTTGTGACCATTGAGGCACTCTCCAACGCTGGGATAGGTACCGCCCGTGATCCCTGTACTGGCCTTCTCTAGTGTTCATCTTGTGGGCCCGGGCGGTCTGTTCCCTGAGGAGAGTGCCTTTGTGATTCGCACCGCCCGGTACTAATGTTATTTTTTCCTTTTTCAGGTCCTCCCCCTACTCAAGATCAGATGGATAGCGCGGCTATGGCACTTCGACGTGAGGCAAAGGCTGCCAAGGAACGGGAGACGCTAGCTAAAGCCCGTGCAGCTGCTTTATCCTCTGGGGCTACTTCTTCGGCCGCATCGCAGGCTAGCCAGCGGGTCGCCGATGCAGAGCGGCTTCTGGTTGCTGAGGTGACCGAGCAAAACTCCGAGGCCCCTCCTCAAGATAACCGGGTTCTGAATGTGAACCCGGTCGACGTTGCTATCCCTGCTGGCGGGGATAAGGATAAGGGGAAAAAGACGAAGAGGCCACGTCTTGAGCCCTCTGCCCCCAAGTCTACGAGCGTCGCGGTTCCCTCCGTCGTTCGTCCCATTTCCGAGGTCTGGAAGGACATGGCCCTCCAGGCCGGGTTGGAGCTATCAGGTCGTTCCTCGGGCGACTCTGTTGACAACGCCCTGCTTCTGAGCCTTGAGGTATGTTCTCTAGCCATTTTTTCGTGTTATCCTCTGTCTCTGCTCCTCGTTTCCGCCTAACCCAATTTCTTTTTCTGCAGGTCAGGCTGAGCTTGCTGCAGGCTAAGTCTGCTCGGGAGAGAGATCTCGCCGAGCTCAGGAAGAAGGCTGATGCGGCCCTTAAGAGGGAGCAGGAAGCTCTGCTGCAGCGGGAGGCCGCTCAGGCAGAGGCGAAGAGGGCGCAGGCTGCCCTGGCCCAGGCCCAACAAGAGCTCCAGGCCGTTCGTGCACAGGGCGAATGTGAGAAACAAAGCCTGCTCGCCAAGGTGGCCCTGGCTGAGGAGCATGGGATTTTGTTTGTTCCTGTCGCAGACCCTGCCTCCCGTCCCGAAGGTGGGGATCCTTCCACGGACGCTCTGACCCTGTCCCTTAACGTGGAGGAGTTCAAGAAGACTTCTCAGTTCCTCCAGGCTACTTATGAGTACTGTTGGGGAGCTGCTGGGGAGGTTTTTGAAGCCGAACTGCAGTCGGTGGTGGATAAGAAGCGTTTAGATCATGGGGTGTAGATTTTGGGGAAGACTGTCCTTGGTGGTGAGTGGCTTATGGAGCTTGCTGATGATTCCTTTGCCAAGGGGTACTTCGAAGGTGTAAAAGCCCTTAGAAGCGTGCTCCCTTTGGTCGGCTGTCCCCCGTTTAATGTGGAAGATTACACCGATGGGGCTGAGCTTCGGCGAGTTATGGGCAAACTCGACCGAGCCGAGCAGCGCGCGGCGGCTATTCAGAGGGGTGAAATCCCCGATCCCCCCACTCCCGAGCCTCCCGTAGTGCCAGCAAAAGATCCGTCGGCCTCCCCACACTCCCCTTCTCATGGTTTTCTTACACAGCTTCGCTAGTTCCCTTTTCTGTTTGCTTGTACGTTCCGGCTAGTAAGGCCGAAGAATAAAGCCTCCTTGTATTTACATCTTGTGTTCTGTTTACTTATTCGTACTTTCCTACTTCCTCCCCCCTTCCTCTTTTTTTTTACGAGGAACGGCCCTTGATCCTTATTCATGGGCCTTCACTTCTTCTGACGAGGAACGGCCCTTGATCCTTACTCATGGGCCTTCACCTCTTCTTCTGACGAGGAACGGCCCTTGATCCTTACTCATGGGCCTTCACCTTTTCTTCTGACGAGGAACGACCCTTGATCCTTATTCATGGGCTTTAACTTCTTCTGACGAGGAACGGCCCTTGATCCTTACTCATGGGCCTTCACCTCTTCTTCTGACGAGGAATGGCCCTTGATCCTTATTCATGGGCCTTCACCTTTTCTGACGAGGAACGACCCTTGATCCTTTACTCATTGGCCTTCACCTCTTCTTCTGACGAGGAACGGCCCTTGATCCTTACTCATGGGCCTTCACCTCTTCTTCTGACGAGGAACGGCCCTTGATCCTTACTCATGGGCCTTCACCTTTTCTGACGAGGAACGGCCCTTGATCCTTACTCATGGGCCTTCACCTCTTTTTCTGACGAGGAACGGCCCTTGATCCTTACTCATGGGCCTTCACCTCTTCTCCTCTCTTTTTTTGGAACTTGTGAGGGGTGGTTTCAGCACTTGTCCCCTGCGGCGTGGATCCCGAAGCGTCCCCAGCCGTAGGATGCACCAACCATGGCCCGCCACGTGTCTCTCCTTCATTCGGGAGCCGGGGTGGTTCTTGCCTATAAATACCCCTTTGCCAAAATTGGGGGATTGCTTTGTGACTTTTGCCAGATTATTTCCTCTCTCTAGATTCTTCATAAGTCTCTCCTTCCTCCTCCGTACCTGCCATGTCTTCCATTGTCCCCAAGTCGTCCGCCCATGGCCATTCCGTAAACTTATCCGATGACGGCTGTAACTCAGGGGACGACCTCTCGGTCTATAGGCATGGGATGCCCCCCCAGCCTCCTCATTTTCCCCTTAATTTCCACCTCGTTCGGCGTCAGCGCCAACATCTGCTCCTCAGTGAGAAGAACCTGATTCCCCGGTTGCTTCCCCCCCCCCCCAAGGGTTTGGAACGCACAGTTCCTCCGCCACCCCATGCGGCATCTTCCCGGCCATGTGGTCGTCCACCTTGACTCTGTGGCAGCGGGTCTCCTTTTCCCGCTGCTTCCTTTCCATGTTTCTCATTTCAGGAGACTTGGCATCGCCCCGGCCCAACTCGTCCCGAATTCTCATCGGATTCTTGCCGGTTTCATAATCCGGTGCCATGACGTGGGGGTCGAGCCATCTGTGAAGTTGTTCCTGCATTTCTTCCGGCTTTCCCCGTACGGCCAGATGGGTTATCTCTGTGTGGTGGCCCATTCGTGGAGGGTTCTTTTTTCCAACAACCCTTCCAACCCGAACAGCTGGGAGGAGAGGTTCTTTCTCGTCGGGGTTGATTCCCCCCTCCCCTTCTCCGATCGGTGGAATGCCTTTCCGGCCAAGTTTGAGCCCCCAGTTCTCCATTCAACCGAGCTGGAACAGGCCGCGCGTATCGCTGGTGAGGGGGTCCAGAACCTGCATCTGCTGGTGAATGACACCAACTTGGGCAAGGCCGGCATAGGTGCGTCCTCGCTGAGGCCCGGGTTTTGGACTCTCCTCTTATGACTCCCAGCTTGTTCTGATAATTTCTCTTGTTTTTTGCAGGGCTTTATCCCAGATCTTCTACCATGGTTCCCCAACCCCGTGCTACTCCCTCCTATGTCCGGGCTGATGTTAGCAAGGGAAGGCAGATCGTTGGTGAGGATCAGGGCCAGAAGAGGCCCAAGGCTGAGGCTGCTGGGGATGAACGGCCCCCCAAGAAGTCTCGCCACGGGGAAGGGTCCACCAATGTTGTGGTGGACCTTGATAGGTCTGATAATGAGGCCGCCTCTCCTCCTACGCCGCCCCCCAAACCCCTGCTAGACCAGGGTTCGAGCGATCCTCCTCCGTCCGGTTCTGAGGGCTCATTTTCTGATATCATTGAGTTCTCCAGGTTGGGCCCCCGTGCGGAGTCCAAGAGGCTGTTTGGGCAGACGGCCTCTTCGATTTGGTGTTCCCTGGGGTTCAAACTCCCTCGGGATTTCGCTGCTCGTGACAGCGCTGTGGACCTTCATGAGTGCGGCCTTACCACGCTCAACAAGGCCACCGTATATTTTTGCAAGGCGCGGTTTGCCTATGAGGCTCAGGAGCGTGCTTCCGCCCAAGTGCGTTGTGAAGCCGATGATCTGGTGAAGAAGGCCAAAGAGCGCCTGCATCAGATGCAGCAGGACCCGAACACTGCCCTGGGGCTTGCTAAGGGAAGCACGTCACTTCAGGAGACGGTGAGGAAACAAGTCGAGGAGCTGCAGCTGCTTCGTGCCAAGGTGGCTGCCGTGGAGAAGTCCGACGTGCAGCTCCGCCAGGTTGGTACGGATGGGGCCGTTCCTGTTTTCGAGGCTGATGTTTCCAAGATCAAGGAGGCTGGCTCTATTGAGTTCCAGAAGTCATGTGCCTATGTCGATGCCGTGAATGTCCGTGTAAAGGAGCGCCTTGCCCAGAGTTTCGGGGAGTTTTTGGCTAAGAGTGCTGATCCGCTGAAGGACGGCATCGGGTTGATATCGGGAACCTCCGCCGGTCAGGAGTTCCTTTCAGAGCTTGCTGATGATGCCTTCGCCAAAGGTATGATCGGCCTTTTGGACGGAAATCTCCCGGCCCTCCAGCGTTATCTCCCCACGCTGTTTGATCCTGAGGCCGCTGGTTTCAATGCTTCGTTTGTTGAAGCTTACGGGGAGGCTTTGAAGGGCAAGTACCAGGTCACGGACGCCCCCCCCCCCCTCTGGCTGGGTGAGTTTGTCAAATTTTGCATTCCAGCCGTACCTCCTGACTTGCCGGCCGTCCCTCCCGAGGCGGCTAATGTTTTTAAGATGGCTCACTTCGGCCCTCACGCCTCTGGGTTCATAGAAAGCTCTTGCAGTCTCATCTATATTCAAGGATAGCTCCCGGGGGCGTGATGGTTCCGATTACTTTGTACTCTTGATTTCACTCTGAACTCGTGTTTGTTGTACTTCCCGGCCGGTGGAGCCGATGAATAAAGTGTACCTTATTTATCGCGATCATCTTTACCACTTGTCGCCCGCTGGTCTTTTATTTTTCCCTTCCCCTCTTTTGGGGATTCCCTAATGCCTCTCTCCATTTTTTTTTGGAGAGGTCTTTTGCTTTGTCCCGTCGTCCGTTTGTCTTACCTGCCCATTTGGCCCGGTTTTTAGGATCCTGAGCTGGGCTCGGCCGCGATTGTGATGCGGAACGGGTTTATCCCCTTTGGGGATTCCCTGGTCTTTGTCCCGTCATCCGTTCGTCTTACCTGCCCATTTGGCCCGGTCCTTAGGATCCTGAGCCGGGCTCGGCCGCGATTGTGATGCGGAACGGGTTTATCCCCTTTGGGGATTCCCCAATGCCTCTCTCCATTTTTTTTTGGATAGGTCTTTTGCTTTGCCCCGTCATCCGTTCGTCTTACCTCCCCATTTGGCCCGGTCCTTAGGATCCTGAGCTGGGCTCGGCCGCGATTGTGATGCGAAACGGGTTTATCCCCTTTGGGGATTCCCCGGTCTTTGTCCCGTCATCCGTTCGTCTTACCTGCCCATTTGGCCCGGTCCTTAGGATCCTGAGCTGGGTTCGGCCGCGATTGTGATGCGGAACAGGTTTATCCCCTTTGGGGATTCCCCGGTCTTTGTCCCGTCATCCGTTCGTCTTACCTGCCCATTTGGTCTGGTCCTTAGGATCCTGAGCTGGGCTCGGCCGCGATTGTGATGCGGAACGGGTTTATCCCCTTTGGGGATTCCCTGGTCTTTGTCCCGTCATCCGTTCGTCTTACCTGCCCATTTGGCCCGGTCCTTAGGATCCTGAGCTGGGCTCAGCCGCGATTGTGATGCGGAACCGGTTTGTCCCCTTTGGGGATTCCCCAATGCCTCTCTCCATTTTTTTGGAGAGGTCTTTTTGGATTATTAGTCCCGCCCGGCGGGGAATGTTGGTTTCCCCTGGGAGGCTCGTAGTGTTTTTGTGATGACGCTGTACACCATGATTTTATCGTGGAAACCCGGAAAGGGAAAAACCACGGGACTTTTTGGGCTAATGTCCAAGCCTCTTGTCTTTATTAATTTCTGCTGTTACATTTGTATGAACGTAATACTTCTAGCGAATCCTTCCCCCTGTCTCTTTTTTTTCAGGGGGCTATTGGTAAAATTTCTTCAGGTGCTCCACGTTCCATATGCCAGCGGAACGTCCCTCCATAGTTTGTAAGAGGAACGTCCCCGCCGCCAATCTCTTCTCGTATACCCTGTACGGTCCTTCCCAACTCCTGGCCATCTTGCCTCCTTCTAGCGGCTTGCTCTTCTCCCGCTTTCGTAACACCAAGTCTCCGACCCTGATTTCTCTGACCTTTACTGCTTTGTTGAAATACCTCTTGGTTGCCCGGTGGTACTCCTCCATGCGCCGTGCGGCTAGGTCCCTCCTTTCCTCGATGAAGTGCAACTCGGCCCTTAGGTTCTCCTCGTTCTGTCCTGGGTCGAAGTGCAGAGTCCGCTGCGTGGGCACCAGTACTTCGGTGGGGACCTTAGCCTGAAAACTGTATGCTAGTGTGAACGGTGTTTCCCCGGTCGCCGTTCTTGGGGTTGTCCTGTATGTCCACAGGACATAATTCAGCTGCTCCGGCCAGGTTGAGGAGTAGTCTTCTAGTTTCTTCTTTATGCCATCCATGATGGTTCGGTTCATATTTTCTACCTGGCCGTTTGCCTGTGGGTATGCGACTGAAGCCTTTGAATGCCGGATACCCCACTTAGCCAAATATGCCTCAAATCCCTTGCCGACGAACTGCCGGCCGTTGTCTGTGATGATCTGTTCCGGGATGCCGAACCGACACAATACGTTCTGCCATATGAACCGTTGGCATTGGAACTCAGTGATGTTCTTCAAGGGTTCGGCCTCCACCCACTTTGTAAAATAATCAATGGCCACTATTATGAATTTCTTCCCGCCGGTCGTCCTGAGAAGGGGTCCTAGCAGATCTATCCCCCATCTCGCAAATGGCAGGGCGACGGTCATTGGTGTGTAGAAATTGGCCGGTCTCCCTGGCATTGGTGCGTACTGCTAGCACACCGCGCATCTCTGGGTGTGATTGAAGCAGTCCCGTTGGATGGTTGGCCAGTAGTACCCCTGTAGGATGATCTTCCTTGCCAGTGTGCGGGGCCCTTGGTGGCTGGAACAGATGCCCTCGTGGATTTCCTCCATGACTGACGCTGCCAAGTCCGGCGCTAGGCATCTGAGATATGGCCCGCCGAACGTCTTTTTATACAACTCACCCCCAATGATCTCAAAGCTTGCTGCCCGTCTTTTCACCCATGGGGCCCTTCCGGAGGTGCGTCCATCTTTCTCGAGGGGGAGGGTCCCATCTTTGAGATAATCTGTCACCTCCTTTACCCAATTGGGATCTGCATAAGACACAGCATTTACCTGGATCATTTATGTTGCCGGTCGGAGCAGTGCCTCCTGTCTCGCAAAATTCCGGATATGTTGTGGGACGGCTACCGCCTGTTCCCCGGGCAGGGGATTGCCTAGCTTGGATAGGATGTCAGCTTCGGCATTCTCCACCCGAGGTACTAGGTCTATGATCACCTGTTCGACAAGTGGTGAGGAGAGGTACGTCTTGAATTCTTCAAAAGCTGTCTGACATTCCGGCGTCCATTCAAATGGGCTGGCCTTCTTCATGATCTGAAAGAAAGGGATCGCCCGATCGGCCAGTTTTGACATAAACCGGCTTAGTGACGTCAGGCGCCCCGTGAGTCTCTGTACATATTTCAAATTTTTGGGAGCCTCCATGTCCACGATGGCCTTGACCTTCTCGGGATTAGGCTCGATTCCCCGCTCGCTCATCATGTAACCAAGAAACTTCCCTCCTCTGACGGCAAAAGCACACTTCTTTGGATTCAGCCTCATGTTCGCCCCCTCCATAATGGTGAAAACCCGCTCCATGTCTTGTACATGATCCTCCTTTTTCCTGCTTTTGATCAGGATATCGTCGACGTACGCCTCCATGATCTTCCCGAGGACGTCCTTGAATAATATCCCGATCATTCTTTGGAAGGTGGCCATTGCGTTCCTTAATCCGAACGGCATGACCACATAGCAGTACACCCCGTCTGAGGTGACGAATGCAGTTTTCTCGGCGTCATCTGGGTGCATGAATACCTGATGATATCACCTGAAGGCATCCATAAAGCTTAACAGCTCGCACCCTGCGGTTTCATCCACCAAGAGGTCAATCCTCGGAACGGGATATGGGTCCATCGGGCAAGCCTTGTTGAGGTCGGAGTCATCGACGCACATACGCCAGGTAGTCCCCTTCGGAGCCAAGACGACGTTGGAGAGCCATTCCACGTGCATGACAGGTCGTATGTGGCGTATGTCCAGCAGGGTGGTGACTTCCACTTTGATGAAGTCTCTTCTCTCGACTGCCATATATCTCTTCTTCTGTTGCACAGGTCAGGCATCCGGCCGAACGGCCAATCGGTGACCGATGATGCTGGGATCAATCTCTGGCATGTCCTCCGGTCCCCTGGCAAATAGAATCTTGAACCTGTGGAGGGTCATGATTACCCCCTCCCGGATTTCTGGCTCCAAACCGGTCCCAATGGACACCTTCCGGTCGGAAGGATCATCCAGTTCCACCTCCTCCAGCAAGGTAGCTGGCTCTGGTCGGAACATGGCATCTTCCTGTCGGGCCGTTTCCGCAATGTTGTTAACCATCATGTCCTTCTCTGTCATCCGCTTCACCGCCTCCTTGTAACATGCCCTTGCCGTATCTGGGTCCGTACGGGCCACACCCACCCCAGTTTCCGTGGGGAATTTTATGCAGGAGTGCCGTACGGAGCATATGGCCTCCAAGTCCTCTAGTCCAGGTCGTCCCAGAATGGCGTTGTGGGCGCATTTGAGCCGCACCACCACAAACGTCATGGGAATCATTGCCCTGTGCTCTCCGCCCCCGATTTCAACCGGCAGGATGATGGTCCCTTCTGCATCGATGCTGTGACCGGTGAAACCGGCCAGGGGTGTCCGAAGGGGGCTCAGATCGGCCCTTCCTAGGTGCATTTTTTTGAACACGTCCCAATAGAGGACATTGACGCTGCTTCCTGTATCAACCAGTACTCGTCGGATTATCCACTCCCGGATATCCATGCTGACTACCAGCTCATCCTGTGCGGCCCTGGGGTCTGCGGCAAATCCGCTGCCCCAAATGTGATGGGTTCAACCTTATGTTTCTTGGCGAGGGGTGCAGAGATAGAATTTATCCGGAGGGCTCTTTCAAACTTCTTCCTCTCCGTCGGGGTATCCCCAGTTTCCGCTCCTCCGAAAATCATTTTGATTTCCATCTTCTTCTTGGAGCCGACCGGCCCGAGTGATGCCTCTGGCCTTTTGTCGCCATGGCGGAAATCATCCTCCTTGACTCCGGCCTCTCGCCGATCATCCCGGCGCCAGCTGTAGGGCCTCCTATGCTGTTGCGAGGGCCCCTGATATGCTCCCCCCATGGTGAATTCACCCAGATACCCTCTATCAATGAGCTTCTGGATGGCGTACTTCAGACTTTTACAGTCGTCCGTACGGTGTCCCTGTTTGCGGTGGTATTCACAATATGATCCCGCGTCCCGGCCCATCATGAGCCCCTTCGTAGGTACCGGCTCCTTGAGCAGCCCTTGATCCTTGATGGCCCCAAAGATTTGGCTGATTGGGTAGGCCAGGGGTGCTGGCCCTAGGTTCATAGGGGGGCCATCCCCCGTGCGTTCCTGTGCGGCCCACGGGACATACCCGCCGACCGTCTTCTTCTTTTTCAGGGGTGGTGATTCCACTGGTCCGGGACCCAGCCGATCTGACGCCTTGCACGCAGCGGGGTTTGATGCTCCGTCCCGCTGTGAGACCTCCTCCTCTATTGCCGCGAATTTGTGCGCGCGGGTCAGAACCTCGGCGTAGTTGTTCCCGGGGTTCCTCTTTAAATCCAGATAGAGGTCCCCGGTCGCCAGTGCATTGGTGAAGAGGGTGATCTCGGTGCTCTCCGGGAGATCTTCCACCTTCAATGTCTCATCCCTCCACCTGATCATGAAGGCAGATATGGACTCCCCCTTATTCTGGTGGACGTTCGTCAGCCAACTGAAGTGTTTTTTCGGTGTGGAGCTGGAGGCGAACTGAGCCATGAACTGCCGGGAGAGTTGTTCAAAGTTGTCGATAGATCCGGGCCTGAGCTGCCCGAACCACTCCTGTGCTGGCCCTTTAAGGGTGCTGAAGAAAAGCCTGCACACAGCCTCATCGGAGGCTCCCAACATGGAGAGTGTCCCTTGATAAGACAGTAGATGGGCTTTGGGGTCCCCGGCTCCGTCATAAGTTAATGTTCCAGGGGGGCGAACGTCCCGCGCAATGTCCATCGCCATAACTCTGTCGGTGAAGGGTGGTGAAAGAGCAATCATGGGTTGGGCCTGAGCGTTCTCCGTCCGGCGATTAAGCTCATTTATTTGCCTCTGCATATCCAGGAGCATGGCATCCCGTGGGTCAGTCCCAACAGGCGCGGGGGCTACTGCTGCCAAGGCGTCTCCTCTTGGTACAACGCCCTGATTGTGCTGGCCAAAGTGCATTATGTTCTCCGCCGCTATGCCGCTCAGTACGGGGGTATGCTCCCTAGCCGTTCCTCCTCCGCGGGGCATGACTGGCGTGGGGTCCTGAAACGTGTGGCGTTGTGCTCCTCTGAAGGGCCTAGCCCCTGTGACCCCCCCCCCCCCCCTACCCGGAGGGCGGGTGTTCTGGGTTATTCTGGAATGGACCGAACAGCGGGGATTGCTATTCTCGCCCGTGTGTTCGGTGAAAGACTGCATGGGACGGACGGGTGAGAGCTGGGTGCGCTCAGTATTGGCGGTGTACACGTGTTCTTCCTCCCGCTGATCCGCCAGTCGGCGGATAGTATCCGCGATATCTCGCAATGCATGGGGGTCCCTGCGGAGTTCTTGTGGGATCAGGTCGGTGAGCATCCCAAGGTCCCCTCGGCTCCATAGGCTAGTGGATTGGGCCCCTGCCGCCTGGTTACGGCTCCTCCTGCTTTGAGCCAGTCGTGATGATAGATCTTGAGAATTGCCCGCGTTATTAGTATTCATTTTGTTTGCCTTTCTGTTGTCTTAGAAGTTTTAAATGGAGAGCTTGGAAAAAGAGCTTTTTGATCAGCTTCCCACAGACGACGCCAGTGTTGAGGTTTATTCCCCTCAACCCGCAGGCCCAACACGTACCTGGGGTTTCGAATGGGTGGAAAGCAAATGAATTTACTAAAACAACGGGGATGGATTAAGTGACTGTTTCCTTCAATATAATGACTACAAGCTGAAGGGCCAAACGTACTGAAAATAAGCTACGTAATGCTGACGTTATTACAACTCTAGAGTAACGATGTCTGAACCCCTTTCAATGAAATAAATGCGGCTATTTATAGTACATCCTGGTAGTTGGGGGGCTGACGTGGCCGGCTGTGGGCGACATGATTCCGACCACCAAATCTTCAGCATTAAATGCGCTTCCCGCCAAAATCTTGGTTTCCCGCCATAATGCGGGGGACGTCCGTCCCCTAAAGTGAACCCAACTCTTTGATGGCAACCTGGGCCTTCAAATATAGCCTACGAGACGTCCATCCCCAGATCCTTGGACCCTGAGGCCTGGCTATGCTGGGCTACGTACGTCCCCTGGCCCTTGGACCTTGAGGCCTGCCTGTGGTGGGCCACGTACGTCCCTTGGCCCTTGGGCTTCAGGGGTTGATGGGCCGGCCCTGGAAGGCCATTAACCCAACAGTATGAAAGCATGTAGAATCTAAATAACTGAGCCACTTGTTGTGTCTACCAAGATTTTTTTGGAAGACTTGTTTTTAATGAATTGGGGCATTTTAGAGGAAGACGTGCACTTAAAAAAACGTTTGACAGAGAAATGAAAAATCACTTTTAACCATGAAAAATGCAATTTTAATGCTTATTTTAGAAATAATTTTGAATTTTTTGTTTTCAATGCACTATGTTTTTTTTATTTATTTTTCTAGTATGTTGCAATTCCCATTTGAAAATATATACATGCACATACACACATATTCTACAATCTTAATGTTTATCAGAATATAAAAATCATTATAGTACTTTTTTTACTCCCTCCGTCCCAATTTGATTTGCAAAATTTCCTATTTTGGTTGTCCCAAAATGATTTTTCACTTTCTATTTTAGGTACGTAAATAAGAATAAAGTGACAAATTTACCCTTACTTTTACTTTTTTCCATTAACATAAAGACATCTACTTTTAGGAAGATGGGCAAAAGTGTAAAAAACAAGTATCATTTATTGTCACTCCTTAATCCTTGTGTCAGTCAAAGTTTGCAATTCAATTCGAGACGGAGGGAGTATTAAATTATATGCTCTCAATGTAATTTTACATTCTTCAGCCAATCTTTAACTCTTTTTATCAAACGGGTTGTTTCATTCAATTAGCAGCTCACGTTCAGTACTTCAAAGTTCATTACAGGACAACGGTATGCAATTCAAACAATAGCCCTTAAGTTAGACATTAGTCTTTAACTATAGCTCATATCGTCAAACATAGCTTAAATAGAAAACTTCAGAGGTATACATATATAAATTCTTTCTAGAGCCGGTTTTTAGGAAGTTCAATGGGTTCTACATAACATAACCTCTCAATTTATAGGGCCCCAATTTTTAAAAGTTTATTAGTATTATATAGTAATATTTTATATTAATAATAATCAGTAAAATACACTTAGTAAGGATGAAAAATACAATAATGTCATTTTTTGTCAGTCCTTTTACTCCTCTTTACTTAGATTGCATGAGTGATGAGTTGTGTTGCTTTAAATCAAATATTAAGTTTTAGAATTTTTTATTATTATTTAATGAGTATTCAAATGATTTGAGTATAAGTATTTAGATTGATTTTTTCATTAATGTGGAGCCATGATTTTACATTTGAAACCGAGACTTCCAAATTGATTAGAGGGCCTTGATTCTTGCGATTTGAAGTCTGACATAGCTATAAGATTGAGGTAAGGGTCAGATTGGTCTTTGAAGTTGCATAAAAAGGGTCAAATAAGCTATGTCAATTTCGAGGACCAATCTGACTCTTACCTCAATCTTATAGCTATGTCCACCAACTAATAAGATATCGAAATATAGCATTGACATAGAATTTCTACCAAAGTAATAACAACTTATGTAAAATATACTTAACTTTTATATATTTTGTAAGCCATTTCAAAAACACTCAACATATTATACATTACATAAAACTCAAAAAATTATGAACCCACGTCCAATTAATTCCTTTTGGTCGACTACCATGACAGACTTACAGAGTGTTCGGGTTCCACTTCATTAATACATGGGAAGATGTAGTGGGACTCCCCATGTCTATAGCTTCAGACGCCCACAAATGAACTGCCCACAATTCCAGAATTTGTTATTCCTAAAGTTTCATATACTAACTGCGTTTCTTTTGCTTCTATTTCATCCTATACAACTAACTTCACATACTAACTGCATACTATCTGATTTCTTCTGAAAAAAAAAAACATCCCAAACTTTACTCCAAGGTACGCACTCACTTCTGTGATTGGAAAAATGGTGCACAGATACTGTTTGATTGGGATGTACAGTAGAACTCATTGTGCATTCACTGATCATTGTTTTGCTTTACTCAAAAACTTATATTTTGCTTATAGTAATTTGGAGTTCATTTGGTTTCCTATAATGTATTATTCTATTCATATTCGCGTTTTGAATCTCCTACGCAGCTTTGCTTTAGAAATCATCAAATGCTTCTGGTGAACTCAGAATCATCTGTGGAAGCTCCAATGATTCCTTTTGAGCTCCTTGACTGTCCTTCAAAGGTAACATTTTTTTTGTCTAATGCATCAAACCTAGCTTTAAAAAACACATTATGCCCTTATTGCCCCTTCCGCCAAGTGTGTGGTTTTTAATCAAAAATCCTTTTTTGACTTTACAATGTTTAAAGAGGAGGCATGTAATGACAAACGAAACAGTATGCAGAAGATGTAAGTGATTAAGTAGACAATAGGGATACTTTTCTCTGAAGTTTATTATGACGGCTGCTGTTGTTTACTGGTTTACCCATTCAAGCCCAGACATATCAGTTCTGACGTTGTTCGCATTGATCTCTATTACTCTGATCCCACACTCTAAATCATCTGTAACAAGTGGTCTGCCTGATCTAGCTATCCTGTTTTCTTCATCACTAACTTGGATGGGTTAAACAGTTCCTTATATAGCTTTGATTGTGCTGATTTGGTTCCAAATATGTAGTATATTTTTTTATGATCAAACTGCACCCATTTTGCATTTCCAGAGAGGTGTAGGGGAAGCTAGAACATTCTTTCCTGCCATTAATCCGAAGCTCATTCATTTCGATGATATATGCTCATTGACCAAAGGTGGTGGTGTGAGTTTAGAGGAGGACCATTCAGCTGATTCGTGTAGAGGAAGGAAGCATTACCGTCCAGGTGAATGTGGGTTAGAAGAAGAGCAGGAAAGGAGCAGCAAGCAGAGTGCAGCTTATAAGGAGGAGGAGGATTTATCAGAGATGTTTGATAAGGTTTTGATGTGTACTGATGATCATGCCGATGGTCCATCTGGAGCGTGCAAACAACAGAAAGAGCGAAATGGTCGCAAGAGTCGTTCAAATAAACGAGGAAATGATAATGAAATTGTTGATCTCCAGTCTCTTTTGATTAGTTGCGCAAAATCTGTTGCTTCTGGTGATTACGGGGCTGCAGTAGAGCAACTAAAGAAGGTCAGGCAGTACTCTTCGCCTGTAGGTGACGCAAACCAAAGGGTGGCACATGCATTTGCTGATGGTCTTGAGGCCCGGATAGCTGGAACTGGGGCGCAACTTTATCCTTCATCATCATATCACAATAAGATCCCAATTTCCGAAATGCAGAAATCCCATTTGTCATCATCCTTGCCATTTATGAGGATATTAATCTTTTTTGCGAATAAAATGATTTACAAAGTAGCGTCAAGAGGTGCATCACTGCACGTTATAGATTATGGTATTCTGCATGGCATCCAATGGCCCACTCTTATTCGAGACCTTTCACAAAGACCCGGTGGCCCTCCAAGACTCCGAATAACTGGGATTGAGCTTCCCCAACCTGGTTTTCGTCCATCACAAATGATAGTGAACACTGGTTATCGTTTGACTAAATATTGTGAGCGTTTTGGAGTACCATTTGAATACAACCCCATAACAGCAAAGAGGTGGGAGGCAATTAAGATTGATGACTTGAAACTCACGAGGGGTGAGGTGGTTGCTGTTAACTGTAATGCTCGACTAAAAAGCCTACTAGACGAGACCGTATGTGGTGCAAACAACCCCAAGGACGGTGTTTTAAACTTCATCCAGGAAGTAAACCCTCATATTTTTGTGCATTCTGTGCTTAGTGCATCTCACAACTCTCCTTTCTTTCTCAATCGGTTCCGAGAGGCTCTCTTCTTCTACTCTGCTCTCTTTGATATGTTTGAAGCTATTTTCTCAAACAATGATAGTCAAAGGTTGAACTTTGAACAAGCATTTATGGGGTCTTCAATAGCAAATATTGTAGCATGCGAGGGAAAGGAAAGGTTAGAGAGGCCTGAAACATACAAGCAGTGGCAAAGTCGCACTATGAGGGCTGGATTCAAGCCTGTGCCTAAGTAAAAGCATCATCAGTAATTCCTGTATAGCCATAGAAGATGGAGGTAATGAAATGAAAGGAAGAAAATAAACAGTAAAAAGATCATAAATAATGAAGTGTGTGTTTCAATTAACATCACAGCAAAGGGTAAAAGAATACCTACAATGGCAATATGGTATCAACGGATAGCTACTCATCCCTTTTCAACTCTACAATAAAAATGGAATGGGTATGTTATCAACTGGGTCATCGTGAGGGGAAAAGGCTGGACAACAATGGCTACTCTAAGTAGTTCTGCCAGGAATACATATTGGTAAAAAGAAAAACAAAAAACATGGATCAATAACGAAATACCTAAAGCCCTGGACCATTGATACGAAAATTTGTTGATACTTTTGATTTTGTAATAATTAACTTATTACAATATGTTTCATTAATTAAATTTATTTTACATTTCTCAATTTTAAGCAGATTTTGTCATTCGAGCACTCACTCTGGATGTTGGACCTGGCTACGTGCAAATACGAGAAGAGGGGTATGAACAGGTGATTGACCCAGACAAGTTGAGCATTCGGCGCAAGGCTATCTAGGAAGATGCAGGGGGTTATATGGTTGAAGGTCAAGAAGATGAACCAAGAAAGCGTAGAGTGATAGAGCCGCTCGGCAAGGGGAGAAGACATCCAAGCAAGAAGGGAAGTGGATGGTGAGGATCCAAAAAATATGCAGGTGATGCTTTCCAGGTTCAGTGATTGGGATTTCTGTGGAGAAGGGCACATCCTACTAGTACCTTTGGCGGGTGTTGGAAAACCGCAAATTCTTTTCCGGGGCTGCAAAATCGGGTCTTTTTCTCTTTGTCTTTTCTTTTGTTCTCAAGACAGTTATGGTGTTGATAGGGTTAGCGAAATGGATAGCTAAGACCATGTGTAGGTTTGGGATTAGGAGTCAAAAGATTAAATATGGAGATTTTTGACTCTTAAATTGGTGTAGTGGTGGAGTAAAAGGAGGATTAAAAGTGGAAGAAGGGATGGAAGGGTGTAAAACTTGAGGGTGGGATTGACATGGGAAAAGAAAAGGAAAAAAAAAAAAAAAAGGGAAGGGAGGCGGGGGTGAGCTAAGATTAGGGCTGGTTCGGTATGGCATACTGAAATTTCCACGTCATACCGCATACCGTATCGAAACTTTCGGTATACCGAATTTCGGTATACCGAAAATTCGGTACAATATGTCACCCATATCGTTTTATATCGAAAACTCACAACACTAAATTTGTAAGATGATTTCGTATAAAGCATCAGTATAATGGACCTACCGAACAACCATAAAATCTGATTTTAATATGTCAAAAGTAGTATACGAGTAATACGACATCAATTACATAAACTCATACCAAAACTAAAAAACAATATTTAATCCAAAGTAGAAAATACTAAAATTATCCTTCTAAAAGGATCCACAACTCTTTTCCCCAAACTAAATGCGGACTCACTAGCAACCGTTGAACATGGAATTGCAAAGATATCCTTGGCAATAATTGAAAGAATTGGGTACCTAGTTTCGCTCCCTTTCCACCATTCCAAAAGATTGAAAGATTGATTAGATCTTTTTTCAAACTCATCACTTAGGTACTTTTCAACCTCATTCGATATCTCTTGAAGTTGCTCTTCTTCATTTTGTGCCTCCACATCATTGAACAACTCATCCCAAAGGCCATCACCTCCACCACTCTCTCCATCATCCACTTGCACTTGCGAGATTTGTCTCTCCACATTAAGGTTTCACTCATTCCCTTATACTCCACCCACAAAGCTATCAAATATTTTTTAATTTTCTCAATGAAGTTTTTGACCTTTGTGGGATCACCTTGAATCTTTTTTATGCTCACTTTAATCATTTGGAATTTTTTCGAGGGTCCAAAACATTGCTAATGAAAACCAAAGGATTCATATCATTCCAATCCCCCCAATATTTCTCAAATTTTAACTTCATTGCGCTAGCCACCTTGCTTAGAATTGGGTCAGACTTACTGATAACCGTTCTATTTACTTGTGTTTAACATAAGTATTTATAAGTATTTGTTGAAGAGAACAAGAGAAATTGGGAAAATACCTTCAAATAAGAGCTAAAGCATAAAACTTTGTGATGAACGGCTTTTGGGACCAAAAGGATGACGTTCTGCCCATAATTTGAGTATAACTTATTGTAGATAACTCGAAATCACTCAAATCTAATTTCATGTGAATGTTAACTCAATAAGGTACAAATGTTATGAAGACGTCATGGCCGGAATATGAAAGGATCAAGACTCAATCAAGTTTCAGGATACATACCTCTCAGTGTTTTATCCATATTATTTGATTGGATGAATAAAATCACGTCATTCAAGTTTTGGTGAATAGAAGACTTCATTATCTACAACTCCGGTGAAGGAATCATGTCCAAATTCGTAGCGGAACATCCCCAAAGTCCCGGTACAAAAACCGACACTTCTTGATCGATTTTGGAGGAAGGAAAATGAAGCACATTTTTGGGCGCAGCAACCGGCGCCGGTCAGTCTGAAACCGGCGCCGGTCGGAACGTTTTTTCCCGCACAAATGAGCCTGTTTTCGACCGGGACCGGTCATATGACCAACCGGCACCGGTGGGGTCGATTTTCTACTAAAACACAGCGACGTGAAAGCTTATTCTTGATGGGAAAACTCCATCTTCCTCAATTCTTGATCAAATATTGCTCCATACCTGATTGTTGGGCTCGAATAGACTAAAAGATGTCATTCTTTAGCCTATATAAAACCCTCGAATCATCAAACAAAAACAATTCATTCCATAGATTAATTCCTAGTTTTTATATTAGTTCTTGCTATTTTTCTTCAAGTTCTTTTGGAGAAGAAGCTATTTCTCTCCTCTACAATTGGCTCTAGGTAAATTTTCTTGTATGTTATTTTATTTCCTTGTTCTTAGTTACACTTTTGTAATTAATATGAGTATTAGTAGCTAATTTCTTAGCTAAGGCTAAGGATGAACTTCTATGCCCACTTGGTGTTTGATAAAAGTTCTAAACCAATAAATTGTGATTTATCCTATATATATTGATTGTTTATGACTATGGTGTACAACATAGAAGTATGTTACATGTAGTTTATACTTGCAATTAACGTTGAAATATAAACTATGAACATTAAAGGATAAACATATATAGTACTGAGAATAGAAATATATCTGGTCTTATATGATACGGGTGTGATGTCTTGATATTCAATGGGGTTTTCGGTAGATGAATGTAAGCCGTAACGGGACTTACACGTAACGAAAACTACGCTCTCGCGGCCTTAACCAGAGTTGAGAATATATTAGCAACATCGTTGATAGAGTATATCTAGAGAGAAGTGAGAGCTAGAGAGAGAAGTGCAGTAATATGCTTCAATAGAATGAATTTGTAACCCCTATAACTACTCCCAAGGGGAGTATTTATAGAGAAAATTAGGGTTGGGCTCCCAAGCCTTGGGCTTGGGAGGCCCATTTACAACTGGACCGCTACTGGGCCGAATACAAAGCCACTAATGGGCTGTATAAATGAATAAGTATAAAATCCGATTCTGTGAGGTCTTCGTGGCCGATGAGGGTGTGGCCGACGAGGGCGTGGCCGACGAGGGCACGGCCGACGAGGGCACCCGGGTTCCTTGGACTCAGGACCATAATCCGAGTCGGTCCCTTTTCGGCCGACGGGAGCGTCTTGGCCGACGAGGGCGCCACTCTTTTGTCTTGTGCTTTCTGTTCTTTTGAGTATGTGGGTCCGGGGGCTCAGACCCATATACTCCATCAGGAGTCCCCCACTCTCTAAGCTGAGACGTAGACGAAGTGAAGGAGAGTAGATTCCCGTGCTTTAGTGCTTTTGGCCGATGCGGGCATTCCCGGGCCGTTGGCTGTTGCGGCGTTGGCGCCGTTACCTGCTCCTTGTTGTGGACGGGGAGGCCGTTGTTTACTTGATGTCTTCGTTCTGGGACGATGAGTGTCCCGCTTTCAATGGTGGCCGCTGAAGGCACGTTTTGCTTGGGCGCTGATGGTTGAAGTTTACCTTTGGGCCGATGAGGCCGTTGAGGTCATCCCTTTGAGGACGATGGTGTCCTTTCCTTTGGGTGGCCGATGAGGGTGCTTGCGCACTCCTTTTGGCCGATGTGTCCATTGTGATGCGTGGACGATGTGGCTGCATTCATGTTCTTTGTATTGTTCATGTTTTGTTGAGGCCGATGTAGTCCCCCAGTCCCCCACTGCTTCAGGCCGAAGAGTGTGAGGGGTGAAGGAGTTGCTTGAGTCCCTGGCCGAAGCGGCTTCGCCGTAGTCCCCCTGAATCCAACCCTCATGGCGATTTTCTGGCCAAGGTAACCCTGTGGGAGAACCCTTGTGCGCAGATCGCTTGTAGAGAGTTATCATCAAGGGTTATTACGAGGAGCCGAAGGCTGTGGGCTCTTTGTTCCCTTTGTTCTGTGGCCGTTACGTTCCTGGCCGTTGCCATCTTCTTATTGTTTGGCAGTTGTGATTTTGGCAAGCAAATGGGACGTTATGGGCGCTTGCTGGTATTTGTGAAGCCGGCCAGCGTGTAGGCCGTAGAGTCTGATTTGCCGGTGGGCCGTTGACATGGGTTGGGCCTGGCCCGTTGGTGACGTGGTGGCCTCCCATTGGTGGCCGTTGACGTGGCCATTGGGAGAGTGCCACGTGTAGTGACCGTTGGGTGGAGGGGTCTATAAATACCCATTCCCCTCCGACGAGGAATCACATTTGCATTTTGATTTGTCGAAGTGCTGCCCATTTTTCTAGAGAGATAAACTCCCAAGCTTGTTCTTCGTGTTCGTCGTTGTTCAAGGTTAGTGTTCATCACGATCTTCCTCACTTTTCATATTTTGCTTCCTAGGCTAGTGATCTAGTGTTAGGTGTTTGAACACCCTTAGATCTTAAATTAGTCTCCTTAGGCCCGTAGTAGTAGTTATGAAGAGCTTGAACGAAGATTACTACCCCTACGACGACCAGGCCTCCACGAGGTCACTTGACTACGAGGTGCTCGAGGAGTTCGAGGAGGAGATAGAGCATTTAAGTCCCTACAAATCCGAGGAGCCGGTGGACGAGGAAGGCGAGGACGAGGAGTCTGCCTCCTCTTCAGAAGGTGAGGACGTAGGTGTGTCCCGAGTGGTGGACGGGGCGTCCACTTCTGCTGTCATTCCCTGCCCGAGGCCGGTGTCTGCCGTGAAGGGAGCAGTTAATCCGGAGAGGGTGAGGAGGCCGAAGAATGGGCTGGGCCTCTCCTACCTGGATCTCACCAATATCTTTTTGATCAAGCCGGAGAGCAGTGCGGCCGACTATCTTGTTGCCCAGATGTACGTGGGGCCGTTCGGGCGGGTTAGGGCACCCAGGCCGACGGACCATGTTCTTCTTCCGCCACCGGGATACTTTGGGGTATACCCGATGAGTTTTGCTAAGGGGTTGAGGTTCCCCCTTCACCCCTTCATCGTTGAGTACCTGGGCATGGTAGGGCTTCCTCCGGCCTTGCTGACGCCGAACAGCTACTCCTTGATGGTGGGGTTTCTGCTCCGGTGTGAGGAGCTAGGCTACAGGCCGACAACGGCCCTCTTCATGAATCTGTACCAGATCGGCCGAGGAAGCCACAAGAACTGTGCGGCCTATGCTACTCTTCAACAGCTGCCGAAGAAGAGGAGCTTCACGGACTTGCCTTCGTCCATTCATGGGTGGAAGAGCAAGTTTGTTTTCGTATCCCTGGGTGAGAGTGGCACCGAGTTCCCCTCTCTCGGCCATACCGGGAGGTTCAATCTCCATGACCCGCCAAAGAGCTCTATCTTGGATGCTCAGGTGGAGGCTTTCCTGGAAGGGGGGCCGAGGAGCGTGAAGGATTACGTTACCGAATACAAGATGACCGCCCTCGGCTTCTTCAGATACCATCTGTATGGCGATAAGGATGATGACCTCCAACTCTGGCCGAGGA